GGCCTGGGTCCCCCTGTCTGGCCTCAGGCTTCGGGCACGAGCTCAGACAAGCAGCCGCTCCTTGCGGTGCTCCCCTCAGCGGTTACCGGCACCAAGCCGCCGGGGCTGGCTTCACAATACCATGGAACAAACGCTGGGTACAGCTACCAGCACCCCAGCCCGGCTAGGACGGCAGCTTTCCACACAGTCCTGCGCCACTCGACCGGCGCTACGGGAGTCGGGGCAGGAACGGTCCTGCTGCAATACTTCGCACAACAGGGCCCCGCCTGGTTAGCCCCACAGCAAGCCAGCTATGGGGGGACTCACCCCCAGGCGCGTCCCTGATCTGAGAGCTACCCACGGGGGTAGCCCAGCTGTACGCCGTCTCGCGCCTAGCTTTGCTATCTAAGCACTCAGAAAAGGTATTCTCTTCCCGGTGTTCGCCAGTGGCTCAGGACTCGTGTTTTCTACTCTCTTGGGGTGGGGGTTGACTTGTGGATTGGGGATCCTGCCAAGGGTCGGAAATCAATTTTACTTTTCTGGATGGGGGGATTGATGCTGGGTTTTGGAATTGAAGGGGGTACGCATCACAGCACAGAGCTTAGGAAAGATCCGTCTCTCCCTTGGGAACAGGACTTTGTGACAGCTACAAACACAGATTTAATACACTTAAAAAACAAATGGGGGTTGACTTGTGGATTGGGGATCCTGCCAAGGGTCGGAAATCAATTTTACTTTTCTGGATGGGGGGATTGATGCTGGGTTTTGGAATTGAAGGGGGTACGCATCACAGCACAGAGCTTAGGAAAGATCCGTCTCTCCCTTGGGAACAGGACTTTGTGACAGCTACAAACACAGATTTAATACACTTAAAAAACAAATGATCCGGCAGCACTTTCTAGACTAACAAAACATGTTGGTCTCATGAGCTTTCGTGGGCACAGCCCACTTCTTCAGATGACTGGAGTGGGCTGATGACGTGCAGATGAAGAAGTGGGCTGTGCCCACGAAAGCTCATGATTCCATCCACGTTTTGTGAGTCTATAAAGTGCTACCCAAACATGTAGCTGGCAGCGTGAGCAAAACCCAGCAACAACTGAGCAGAGAGCAGACAGAATCCACCGGAAATCAGCGGCAAACAACGGTTTTAGAGACACTGAGAAGAAAGTCGTGGGGCTGGAGACTTCGGATACGTCGCCGGCGGGCTGCGGAGAACAGCAATTCAAGGGCAGAGGGATGAGCTTTGGACGCTGGGGAGAGACCAGCGAGGATCTGTTCCCTATGGAGCGTGAGTCGAATACAATTTGCTTGTACAATAGCAAAGCCCCAAAAAGCACCATTCCCTTTGCAATGGTCTATGTACCGTAGCAGCTTAGCCGCAGGCGTGGGGACAGCCCCATTACATGAGCATCACGCTGCTGAAGTCAACGGAGCTACACCAGGCTACCCCAGCGACGGCTCTGAGCCTGAAACCATTCCCCTGACAAGACTCAAATCTGGGCCAGCCCATGTCAGAAGCCATCTAGCGCTTGTGACCTGACACAGCCCCCCAAAGAGCCCCCAACGTGGAATTACCTTGTTGCCGATGGTGAAATAGCACCAGGATTGAGCTTGGGAGGTGAGGATGTTTTGGTAAGACAGGAATTTCCCGTTCGTCCATTTGTAGACAGCTGACCCCGGGGGCGAGTGCCGATTGGCTGTGGCCGCAAAAAGCCCCACCTTTGGAATGACGAAGATCTCAACGCCCAACGTTTCCGAGTTGGTCATCAAGTTCTGGTATTCTTCCACGTAGTCCAGCCTCTCTCGGGCTAGAAATGATCAAAAGGCAGGAAAATGACTCATCGATGCCTCCCGAATTCAACGGTCTTCCAAAGTACAATGGGAGGGTACAGCTTTGATGGCCCTGCGTTGCCCAATAAAACGCCCTGTGCCCACGGGCTTAACAATCCACGGGAAAGTGGTTTCTACCAGCACGGTCTAGCCTCAGGTGTGGGGACATGACAAGCGATGGCCACAGACCGTGAACAGCATGGAACAGGGTGACATAGTGCGGGTGTTGCCCTCTTTTGTAGTCATGTGTTCACTCTGTTGTTACATGTACTCTTTGCTGTACTGTGCTGGGTGGGTGGGTGTGCCTCAGTTTCCCCCAGCCCCTGCAGCACTCTCTGCATGAGGAGGGAGAGGCTGGGTGTGACACACTGCAGGTGTGTATTGGGCCCAGACACCCGAGGGCCAGACGCAGGAGACAAAGGAGAGGCGGGGCTGACATCAGGCTGGGGGGGAAGGGAGAACAGTCAGTCTCCTCTGTGCTCAGACGAGAGAAGGATCTTAGAGCAGAAGAGGGGGGGAGAAGGCTGCCTGCTCTTGGTCCCTGTGTTACCATCGATCTTACGCTGCACTGTGTCCCTGTGAACCAATAAACCTCCTCGGCCTGTGCCTCGCGCAATCAACTCGCTCCCAAAGCCTTTGCAGGTCTAGAAAGGGGGAGCAAATTCTAGGACTGACAGGTGTCCAGTTTTCACCCGGACAGGCCGTTATTTGTGGCCCGTGTCCAAACACCGCCCCCCTCCCCCAAAAAAAACAAAAAAAGCACAGAAAATACCGGAGACATGTCAAATGTCCAGTATTTTCTGTTTCTCTCGGACGGAAGGCCGGTGGGGACATTCTTCCCCCGGGGGGAGCAAGGAGATTTTTAAAGGCACAGTGACTTTTTTTTTTTTTGCGCTTAACCTTGCGGCTCCCCCCCCAGCCGCCATTTTCTCATGGGTAGAGGAGCAACGAAGCTCCTCCTGCTCTTGGAGGGCCCCGCCCCACCCAGCGGTTTGTTGCCTCAGAGACAACAGACCAACGTACTGAATTCAGTTCAACGTTGAGCGTAATTCCAGAAGAGGCGTCAGGCCTGCCCTCCCCGCCCCCTCCACTCCCCAGAGGAGACGACTGACCCCCCAGCCGCCATTTTCTCATGGGTAGAGGAGCAACGAAGCTCCTCCTGCTCTTGGAGGGCCCCGCCCCACCCAGCGGTTTGTTGCCTCAGAGACAACAGACCAACGTACTGAATTCAGTTCAACGTTGAGCGTAATTCCAGAAGAGGCGTCAGGCCTGCCCTCCCCGCCCCCTCCACTCCCCAGAGGAGACGACTGAGTCCCAGCCCCACGGAGCTGCAGTCTCGCCCCTCGGAGCGACTGTGATCCGTCGCGGCAGCGTGGCCTGGCCGTCATGGCCCTCACCTTCCAGCACGGCGACCCAGGCGCGCCCGTCACAGAGGTAGAGGCCTTTCCGCGAAGCATTAAACCACAGCCGGGCCTTTTCCGTCTCCACGCAGGGCGGGCGGGGTCCCAGCGTCACCTGCACGTCAGCCCCTGGACACAACACAAAAGCGAGCGTGTCCCGTCGCCGTCCTCGGGACAGAGAAAGACGAAAGGGGGCATTAAAAACGGTGCCCCCGCACACTGTCCTGCCCGGGGTGGCATCAGATCCTGGCAACAAGGCGCAAACCTGCCTTCAGAAGGGGAGAAACCCGCCATTTGTAACCCTCGTCTCTCCCCAGCCCTCTGACCAACAGGCCACACGCGGCCCAAAAAGACACGCCCTGAAGTCATCCGGGCTTCTCAACCTGCTCCAGCTCTGACACAAGGTTCTCCCTCCACCGTGCGCTCGGCCGCAGGCGCCAGGCGGGTGCAAAGCAGCGAGATCGGCTCTATATTCTGCCAGCGCCCGCGAGCGGCCGGCCGGGGGGGCCCAGCCCCTCGGAGCTCGCCGGCGTCGGGGGGCGCTCCTGCAGCGCGGGGGGGATGGAGAGCACGGCGAGCTGCAAGTTCACGCTAGCGCACACCTGGGAGGTCGCATCGGCGCCTGGCAGCAGCACAAGCTGCCTTAGCAAGCCCTGAAAAGAAAGGGGGGAATGAGGTCACTCAGATCCACCCCCACTGCCGGGATGGTTTCACCCTCTACCGGCTTATGCACTGGTGAGCTTTTAACGAGTGGCCTCAGTGACTTTTGCAGCCTGAGGCAAACTCACTGCACTCAACGCGCTTCTAGGCCAAACCCTGAAGTCTTTAGCTATGCATGGACAATCAGTGGTACTGATCTCTCAACTCCCGTTGACCTCTTTCAGGTAGTGTTGCTCTTCAAGTCATTAAGGGTTTTGCCTGAGGGCACAGGGTGAGTGATGTAACTCTAAGGATAACTATCATAACCCACAGATATCCTGTTCCCTTCTATTCACTCTCTGTGAGCTATTCTGCATGGTATGAAGTAGGAAAAGGCAGCGGGGCAGACTAAGGTAAATGGACATGTGGAAACATCATAACTCAAGCCTGCAATGTTCTAGAACTCTACTGTTACAAGGGATTCCTCAGAGCACCACCTGCACATCCATACCAGATCGCCCTCATTATGACAGAAAACACCTCATTATAATACTTTACCTCCAAGTGGCACATGGAATGTTATTTGTATAAACACCTCATGCTTCATACTAGGGACATACTAAGGATGTTAGCGACTAGTTGAGTCTCTACTCAACTAGTTGCTCCCCCTCCCCTTTGCTGCTTCTGTATCAGAGGCAGAAAGTGGGGGGGAGCAGGAGCAAGTGCTGGGAGGGAGCTGGCTTAAAAGCCGGCTCCCCCCAGCACCGTGCCACCTGCCTGCCCCATGCTGCTGCCTCTATCAGCACGCCCGGCTCCTACTACATTGAAGCTGCAGAGCCGCAGCGGGGGTGGCATGAGCCGGGACTGAGCGCCTTCCCTTATCAACTAATTGTGTCATTTCTACGGCCGGAGATTTTCCTCCTCTGGCCTTGCTACTCATCCGAGCAAGGAAACGGTCTTTAGAAAGCAAGAGCACGCTTACCCTCCTGTGGGCATTTACCAGCTGGGGCTCTGACAGCCAAACCCACACGCCGGACCAACTGGGGTGACCCTGCATGGCCCCATCCACATCGACCAGCTGGAAGCGTGGCCCGGGATTCCTACGGCCGGAGATTTTCCTCCTCTGGCCTTGCTACTCATCCGAGCAAGGAAACGGTCTTTAGAAAGCAAGAGCACGCTTACCCTCCTGTGGGCATTTACCAGCTGGGGCTCTGACAGCCAAACCCACACGCCGGACCAACTGGGGTGACCCTGCATGGCCCCATCCACATCGACCAGCTGGAAGCGTGGCCCGGGATTCCGGATTTGTCTATTTCGTTACCACGCAACAACCATCCCGCGGACCTAAAAGACAAAACCCGCCTGGGCTAAAACAGAAGCCACCTCCTGCACTTGGATGAGTCTGTGAGTCCGATTCTGCGCATCGGGGATTTCACTCCAAATCAAGACAGCTACACCCTTCGCCTGTTAAACCACGTCGGAAACACGACCCTCAAAGAAACGAGAAACGCTTTGACAAAACAAGATTCGGTGGCCATTAATAAATGCACTTAATGGACATTTCCCTATCTGCTAGCCCCTCTTAAATGAAAATTATTTACAGGCCAAAATAGAGACAACGAAACCAATACTATCTACCAAGCCACTGACAACGTGAAAGCTCTTTTCTTGTGACGAAACTGGTCTGATATTCTGTAAGAAGAATGCGGTTGTTGATTGAGTGGGCGGTAGAAGGTTTATTATTATAATTCTTGGTATTATTGATAGAGATTTGGTAACACACAAAGGCCTCATTCCTATCTGGGCTTCTTGGTGAAAAGCTTATAGGTAATAAACATGCCTCGGAGCGCTGCAGAACTGGGTGCTGGATAAACACAGAAGAAAACAGTCAATTCCTGCCCCAGAGAGCTTCCAATCACAGTCCAAGACGAGAGACAAAAGGCAGAGGCTGACCGATTCCCCTGCTTAGTCATTTCATTGATCTCTAGTGCTTGTGTCTGCAAACTGGTGTGACAGGTACCGTGTTTTCATTCAGCCAGAAGAACTGGCTGGGAAACCAAGTCACAACTGAATAACCCTTGCATTTTTGTTGGCCGTGCAGTGCCAAAAAGAAGGGTGACCAGGTTCGTGCCATTGTTCGTAAGGGGGGCTGAGTGCAACATCCAGAGCTAGCGAACAGGAGTCAGGTTCCGGTTGGGCACACAGAACCATCTGGGTAAACCCATGCGCCCAATGCTCAGAACAGTACCACTGACACGCCAAAGGAACAATCAGTTCCATACATACAAGATGGGAAGCGACTGTCTAGGAAGGAGCATGGCGGAAAGGGATCTAGGGGTCATAGTGGACCACAAGTTGAATATGAGTCAACAGTGTGATGCTGTTGCAAAAAAAGCAAATATGATTCTAGGTTGTATCAACAGGTGTGTTGTAAGCAAAACTCGTGAAGTCATTCTGCCGCTCTACTCTGCACTAGTTAGGCCTCAGCTGGAGTACTGTGTCCAGTTCTGGGTGCCACATTTCAAGAAAGATGTGGAGAAATTGGAAAGGGTACAGAGAAGAGTGACAAGAATGATTAAAGGTCTAGAGAAGCCTATGAAGCCAGGCTTCATGAACTGGGCTTGTTTAGTTTGGAAAAAAGAAGATTAAGGGGGGACATGATAGTGGTTTTCAAATATCTAAAAGGGTGTCACAAGGAGGAAGGCGAAAATTTGTTCCTCTTGGTTTCTGAGGACAGGACAAGGAGTAATGGGCTTAAAGTGCAGCAGGGGAGGTTTAGATTGGACATTAGGAAAAAATTCCTAACTGTCAGGGTGGTCAAATATTGGAATAAATTGCCAAGGGAGGTGGTGGAATCTCCCTCTCTGGAGATATTTAAGAACAGGTTAGATAGACATCTGTCAGGGATAGTGTAGACGGAGCTTGGTCCTGCCTTGAGGGCGGGGGGCTGGACTCGATGACCTCTCGGGGTCCCTTCCAGTCCTATTATTCTATGATTCTATGAATCCCCCGGGGCTGGCGGACGTTAGCAGAACCACCCAGAGATTGGGGGCAAGGCCTTGCGCCCGCAGGAGAGAACCCAGCACAGCACTGAGGGGGGCCATTAAAATCAGCTTTGCAGGGACCCTGGGATCTCTGTTCTGTGGCCAGGGCTGTGCCTAGCTGGACGGATGCCTGGGATGGCGAATGAAGAGCTGGAATAAACCCCCTGTAGATCAGGTGTTGCCTGGGCTGCTCGATCCCTTTTCGGACGATGGGGCTTTAAACCAGCAGAGAAACACGCTCGGGTATGTGGCCGTCTCCCCCCACCAACAGCACCGGGCAGCCTCGCTGAGACGGGGGGTGTCTCCAACCCAGGATGCGTTGGGCCCAGAGACAGCCCCCCCTGCTCTCTGCTGACTTCTCTCTCCGGGCCCACGTGAGCCGGAGCCAACGTGTCTCTGAGATCCGAGTTCCCAGCGCACCGAGCCAACCCCACGCCCCGAGAGACGCTTACCGTGAACAGCCCTTTCCTCCGATCCCTCCGTGGCCAAGGACGCGGGGAAGGGCCTGTCCGCCACCCTGCAGTGGTTACAGCAAGAGACGCATGAGCACAGAGCAGCTAACCTCATGGAACTCCCCGGCGACGAGAGCTAGTTACGGCTCCCAGCTGCTAGGGACACAAACAGGAACACAGATCGGGGCTCACCTACCCTGGTATCCTGCCTCAGGCAGTGGCCAGGATGTACTTGATTCCTAGTAAGAGACTTTTGTCTCTGTGACGCTTTCATGTGGCAGAGAGTTCCACAGGGTAATCCTGGGAGAATCATGAAAGGATTTCCTCTTCTTGGTTACAAAGATGCCGCCTTTGGGCTTCGGGGGAGAACAGGGTCTCACTTGGATCGGGACAGAACATCCAGGGGCTTTTCCAATAACAAGCCGCTTATGCAGGACGTTAGCAAGTTCCCGTTAGCTCAGTATCTCTTCTCCTCCTCACATCTGCTCAACGCCTCTCTCCCCATTTGTAACACTGGGTGCCCCAGATTATCCTCTTCCTTCCCGGGAGGGTACAGCTCCCGCAGATCTTCTACTGGGTCAGTACCTCCCCCCCGAGTCCCACAACTGCTCTCCGCAAAGGGGGGGCTGAGGGTGGACCCGTCTCACCCTAAAGCAGCGGGATTTGGTGATTATTCTGTAGCGCGTACACCGCAGTAGCACCCAAAGGTCCCTCGCCCCAGCAGCCCCCCCTTGGCACGGGCTAATCCCATAGCCGGGTGTTGCACATTTTGTGGGGCTTGCAAACCGTTGGAAAGAACACGAACAGCTTTGCTTTGTCCCCCGTGCCGCTCGGCTCCGGGTTTCCACTTTTCTAGGACAAGTTGCAAACCGAAAGCAGAATTTTGGTAAGAATTGGTTTTGAGGCCAAACGTGTTCCCGCATTCTCACACACTTTTCCGTGCTCTCTTTTACCTTTGGGGGCGCACTAAGAGTAGGAGGGATTCCCCCCCCCCCCCCCTCTTTCCC